ATTCCATGCCCTGCGGTCCTTTAATGTAGAAGCTGCTAAATCTTGTGTTATCCTGATTGTGTTTCCACAGTACTTGAACTGTTTCCTTCTGGCAGCTTGTCATATTTTCTCCTTGACCTGGGAACTCTGGAATTCAGCTACAGTATTCCTAGAAGTTTTCCTTTGGGGATCTCTTTCAGGAGGAGATCTGTGGATTCTTTCAATTTCTATTTTGCCCTCTGGTTCTCCTATATCAGGGCAGTTTTTCTTGATAATTTCTTGAAAGATGATGTCTAGGCTCTTTTTATGATCATGGCTTTCAGATAGTCCAATAATTTTTAAATTCTCTCTCCTGGATCTATTTTCCAGGTCAGTTGTTTTTCCAATGAGATATTTCACATTGTTTTCTAATTTTTCATTCTTTTGGATTTGTTTTACAGTGTCTTGATTTCTCATAAAGTCACTAACTTCCAATTGCTCTATTCTAATTTTTAAGGAAGTATTTTCTTCAGTAAGCTTTTGAACTTCCTTTTCCATTTGGCCAATTTTGCTTTCTAGGGCATTCTTCTCCTCATTGGCTTTTTAGACATCTTTTGCCATTTGGGTTAGGCTATTTTTTAAGGTGTTATTCTCTTCAGCATATTTTGGGGTCTCCTTTAGCATTACTCTCAATTTTTCCTCTACTTCTCTTACTTGCTTCTCAAGATCCCCTTTGAGATCTTCCATGGCCTGGGACCAATTTATATTTTTCTTGGAGGCTTTGGATGTAGGAACTTTGGCTTTGTTGTCTTCTTCTGGTTGTATGTTTTGATCTTCTTTGTCACCAAAGTAAGATAATATAGTCTGACTCTTTCTGCACTGCTTGCTCATGATCCCGGACAATTACTTGAGTTATAAACTCTTTGTTAAGGTAAGAGTCTGTTTCCAGCGTCAAGAATGTACTGTGCCAAGCTTCAGGGGTTTTGTGCAGCTGTTTTCAGAGATACTTGTAGGGACCTGTAAATTTTCAGTTCTTCTGAGGTGCTATGATCAAGGGTGAGGTGTTTACTCCTTTCCTGGCCTGTGCTCTGGTCTATATTTGACCACAAGCACTTTTTTTCTGCCTTGGAACCGTGAGGAAGATTTCCTCTCGACAGCCACTACAAACTCCACCATGCCAGCGCTCCTCCTCACCGCAAGACCACCACCCAGAACTGTGACCCAAATCCAAGCACAGGCAAAGCAAGAGAATCCTGCACCAGCAGAGCGATCCCTGCAATCCCTCTCTGATCAGCCACTGGATTCCTCCTCAGTCTGTGAGCTGGAAGCTCAGGAGGCAGCCGCCACCCCAGGCCTTGCTAGGGGAATGGATCTGAGACCACCTCACTTCTCTCTCAGCACTGCAGAAACAGACTTTTCCCACTGACCTTCTAAGTTGCCTTTGGCATTCGTGGGTTGAGAAGTCTGGAAACCACCACAGCTGCCCTGATTCAGTTCTCTGAGGCCTGCCCCAGGTTTACTGCAGCCTGTGTGCCCACGCCTGGTTCGATATACCTTTCCGATTAACCATCCAGGTTGTCTTGGGCTGGAAATTTGTTTCACTCTGTCTTTTTGTGGGTTCTGCTGCTTTAGAATTTGTTTTGAGCTATTTTTTATAGGTATTTGGAGGGGCTTGGGGGAGAGCTCAAGCAAGTCACTGCTTTAACTCCACCATCTTGGCTCCGCCCCCAAATCTCCAATTTTCTTGAAGACATGGCTTGTCTTTCCCATTCTACTGTTCTTCTTTTTTTTTTGGCATTGCTCATTTAAGAAAACCTTCTTATATCTCCTGTTAATATCTAGAATTCTACGTTCAGTTGGGTATATCTTTCCTTCATTTTTTGTATTGTATAGTGTTCTTGTTTCTCTGATTTAAATCTCAGACTCCTGATTTTAACAGCCCCTGGTGTTACTCGATTTGATCCCTCTGACTGAGATGTTGGGAAAAGTTTGCCACCAATTTGGCCCTTATCACTCCTTAAAGGAATTCTTTCAAGCTCTGGGGAAGGTGGGTGGTGAAGGGGATATATCTACTGAGTCTGGTCGTTCTAATGAACTTCCTTTTTAAGCCTTAACCTAGCTCTTTGCTTCTGAAATTGTGCTTCTGCTAATATAGGAATGTTGGGCTTAAAAAAAAAAACTCAAAAGGGAGGAAACTGTGGCAAAACTTTATTGCATTGCTTAAACCTAGCCTGAAATGGTTGAGAATCCAGACATTGCCTAGAGACCAAATTTGTTTAATGCTTAACTCAGGATGCCCAGGTAATGCTGATTAGGAATCTTCTGGGGATTGGATGATTGATGCAAGGAACATAAAGGAGTTTCCTCTCATCCATCTTAAGAAACCTATGTATCTTATCTGGAAACCTCCTATGTTCCGCCAGTCGGCTTATGTTTTCTTATTTCTTTGTTTAAGCTCTATATAATGTAAAACTTACAGAGACTCAGGTAGACTGGGCGACCCCTTCTTGAGCTCTCCCCTCTGCCAGATGACTTCTCTAAAAATTTTTCAGTTCTGGATTTTGTTCTTGATCAACAGAACCCTACAGCAAAAGGCTCCTTATGCATTTTTTAAAAAAACTAATGATAATAGACTTTTCTAACTGTCCTCTCCACCTCCCTCGACTTCACCCTGGGGATTAGGGTTTTTCCTGTTCAATCAGCTCTTGAATCTCCACAGTCTTTTCTTCACTAATAATTCTAATAACTTTTCAGCATAAAATGACTAATCATTTAATAGCAAGACGACTTCTCTACAAAGGGATAAAATCTCAGGGCACAAACAGTACATAGGTGGGTCAGTTATAAGTACACCTTCTTGTTATTTTAACTTGATGCAATTTATCTTATTAATCAGGGCCCTAACAATTCCATTTTGAATCTTCTTGAGCCTTCAGCCCTTCCTTTTACCCCAGCCCAACACAGAGAGCTTTTTCTCAGCAACACTCTGCCCACTTTCCCCTAAGTCCTCCCTAACTGCTCCTACACCCACACACCCACACCCACACACACCCACACACAAACACCCCCCAGGGTCACTAAGACAGCAAGGTCCTTTGTGACTCATTTTTTAGATCAAACAATCATAGCTTCCCAGATCCTACCCTGACCAAAAGATCAAAACTGTATTCCTTTTAGGCACATGAAATCTGGATGAGGTTATTCCTCATGCCCTGGGTCTCCTATCCAGGAACTTCTTATACTCTCCCCTTTCTGGGAGTCCCACCACAAGCTCCTCTTCTGAGCTGCCCTTTCTTTTTCTCCTGGTTTTCAACTTCCAAGCCTTTTCAAGTGGCTGATCCCTACATTAATTTGTATTCTTGTCTCCCAGTTGCTCATGTTTTATGTATTTTTTTGTCTCTATAAAATCCTTTTTTACTTTTTCTGTTTAAAAAAATGTTGTTTCCATACCAACAAAGAAATGGCAAAAAGATGATCGTGTTTATATGTTTTCAGATGGCATACTCCTTTCAGTACCAATGTCAGCCCATCTAAAGCATATTTTATATGACTGACACAAACTTTTTGGTCTAGCTAGATTGAAAGGGTGTTTAAATGGCCTCAGCCCCTAGGGTAGGGAAGTAAGAGTGTTAATTATTCTAATGAGTGTGGTGAGGGAATTTTTAGGAGTAGTGTTGTGGAAGGAGATTCCTTTGCAAAATTTTTTTAGGGTACCCTGAGTTTAAAACTCATGCCATTCCATCAGGGATGGAACACAAAAGGTAGTTATTACAGGCAATCAGTTTGGTCTCTAGAATAATTGAAGGAAGCAGAGAAAAATGCACAGGTCTGAGGTAATAGGTCAAGTTCTTTAGTGGTCCTCTACTAGAAGTGTCAGACTCACAGCCCACTTGCCACTTGTGACTAGAAAAATTCCCGGTGCTGCTAGAACCAGATTAAAATGTCATTTGAAAATGTTTAATAGGATAAAGAAAAATACAGTACAACATAGATAATGTTAATTTGTGGTTTTCTAAGTCAATATGTAGCCTTGCAAGGTTCCATTTCTATCTGAGTTTGACATTGCTGCTCTAGACAGTGTCATCCCTAAATGAATGCTATTAAGTAAATATGAAAATAAATCCAAATTTAAAAAGAGTTTTAGAGTTTCTTTTTCATTAAAAGTGATTTTGTTCTTTTCTGCTAATTGTTTTTGTATCAAAGGAATGTTCTGTATAAGTTATCTTCCTTTTGGTGGCTTGCAATTCAATTACTGCCTAAAATTCCTGTTCTTGTATTTTATTCTTATTTGGAGCAGACAACTTCTCAGTACGTTCCTACATAATTAAACTCTTTAGCCTAACCCCCTTGACATAGAGTGGGAAAATTTCTCATGTGACATCATGGTGGAAATTTTTCACAAGCTGACCATTCCTGTGACATGATTGTAATTTACCCCTCCCATAACATCACTTCCCCTCCTCCTGTGACATTACATGGGAATTTTCTAACAACTCCCCCCCACACACACACCTTGCTATTCCCAACCCTCTGAGAAGACCATGTAAAAAGTGGATGAAGGTAGATAAATAATCAGTTACTCCAGCCCTTACTGCTCATATCTTTTGGCCACTTATCTACTGGAGAATGGCTAGTAGTCTTATTTATTAATTGTTCATATCTCTTGGATACCAAACTTTTAAGAGTAATTTGGTACAGATTGTTTTTCTCATTTTGACTACTTTATTTTCTTACCTTAGGTATATTAATTTTGTCTGTTTAGAAGATTTTCAGTTTCACATAATTAGATATCTATTTTGTGTTTTGTATTCCTTGTTTGGTTAAGAATATATCTCCACTCTTTTTGGCCACTTTTTTCTGTGTGCTCCTTCCTGCTGCATCCTAAGGGAGAAGATCATGGTTCGCCCTCAGTATGGGTGCCATGAACTGAACCAGTGAGAGTGGAAGGACGTCCTTCCTTTGCTCTCCCTCTCTATTACCCCAGATTTGAGAAATGGGTCTAGGGGTATTTGTTTCTGTTTTGTGTTGTTTGTACCCCACAGGTTCAGGTGTCAGAGGTGATCCCTGCAAGGCTGAGGGAGTTTGAGCCAAGATGACCTTGCAGCCAGGTGTGCAGGAGGAATGGTGTAGCCATCTAGCTTGGAATGAAAGACATGAGAAGCCAGTGTGTCTGAGAACTGAATCTGAGGTGGGTTTTGTGCTTTCAACAGGACCTGAACTAAGTAAGCAGTGAACCTATCCTCCATCCCCTCCCTTAAAGTATGAGATGGTATAGAGGGGAATATGCCCCCAGGTTTTAGGGAAATAAAGTTCTCTGTGATAATACCTACTAAAGCAAATATTTCTATATAAAAGCAAAAACAAAAGAATGAGAAATATGACCTGTTCATAGCTGTGAGAGGTATATGATCTGCTTCTCTTCTCTTTTTTAATAGTATGATTTTTAATATTAAGGTGGTGTATCCATTTAGGATGTGTTGTATAATGTTTAGGGTGTTGGTCTAAGCTAAAATTTTACTGGACTGCGTTTCAGCTTTCTATCCATTTTCAATGACATAAAGACTTAGTCTGTGCTCTGATTTGACATGAGCATGGCTATTGATCACCAAACCTAAGGAATTACAGAATAAGCTTTCCCTCATTAGGAGGTGGTCACAGGGGCCAAGAAATTCTCTAGGACTTGGAGATACGTTGATAAGTTGATTAAAATCTTTAAAATAGTATGTAGTCAAAGAGCATATGCTACCTCTGACTGTTCTCTATTACACTGTCAAATATACATACACAATTATGTTCATAGCATTGATAATGGTCCTGGCAAAGTATACCTCTACCCTGTGGTATCTCATTTTCTCAGCAAATAGTGGTCTTTGCATTCCTGGTCAAGACACAGGTTCAAAGCTGAAAAAAGTATACCCCTCACCATATCAGAAGCACAAAATCCTTCACATTGCTTTCTCGAGGTCCATGTACTCTAATACAATTCTTGGCCTCAAAATCAGAATACAAGTGTTTAGTAGACCTACTTGGTAATGACTAATGTTAGGCTATATATTTTATATTTTATGTTGGACTATTTTACATTAAGGTTTTTTATTCTATATTAGTATTGATCTTGCTCCTTGAAATATTTAGTCCCAGTTGAATTTTCAGTTCCACATTTCAATGGGATATGCTGCTGTTTTTGCTATTGTGTTTTTTTTAAAAGACAAGAAAAATCACAGGAATTTCCTGCAATTCACTGCTTCACTATTGCTCTAGGAAGTTCATGCTTTTATTAGTTTGTAGTTTCAGCAATTACTTCTAAGTGAAAAGTTTCTCTTTGTTGAAAACAATGAAATCAATAGCACTGGTTTTCCTGGGATATTTGTGGTAGAATAGAATGTCAGGGCTGGAAGGGACCCTCAGAGTCATCAAGTTCAATTTCTTAATTTAAAGGAGAAAAACTAAGGTCCAAGGAGATAGCGTGTTATCCAAGATCATATAATATCAATATTATATATATATATACAAATATATATGTATATATATATAATGTATTTTATCCAGAATCTAATATTAAATATATAGACCTACATGTCTATATGCATGTAAATGTATCATATATCTAAATATATAGATGCACACATCCATATATTTAATATTAGAATCTGGATAAAAATCCAAGGTTCTTGGCACTTACATTTTGGGGTTTGTTTTTTGTTTGCTTTGTTTTGTTTTAGGGAATGAAGTAAGGGTAATTTTGATTGATCATGACTCAAGGCATCTTTATTGCTTCCAAACTGATAGTCTTAGCTTTTTCATAAATCAGGTGTAGGCCTATCTAAAATACTAACACACCTTCCTTTTCTCCTAGTGCATTTTTTCCAACTCTAATTCCGCTTGTTTCCCTTCACAGTTTTGCCTCTATAGCTAACCATTTCAAAAAATGAGTCCATATGTCCTCCAATCCCTTGTTCCTTGTTCTTCTGTCCCTGTCCTGCCAGTGTCCAAATCTAACAACCCTGGGACCTTCCCTTGCCTCTCCTAATTTCAAAGCAACCAAGCACTGCTGAAGTCATTAGGATTCAACTTATCCTATCTAATCCAGAATAAAACTGAATGTAATAGAAAAAGAATCAAATCTTCAATTTGGTCCCAGAGGAAAGAACTAGGGGCAGCATGTGGAAATTACAAAGAGGCAAATTTAGAATTGCTGAAAATAAAGACTTCCTAATGTTTAGAGCTGTCCAGTAAAATGGACAGCCTCAGAAGATGCAGTATTTTCACTCACTGGAGGTCTTCAAGAAAAGTCAGATGACTGCTAGTCTGGTATATTGCTAACAGGGATTCTTTTTTTGGATATGGTTTGCATTAGATGGTCTCAGAGGTCCCTTCTAACCCATAAATTTTGTGATGCTATAAAGTCACAAAATTGTGCTCATTGATTCCGCTACAAATTCATACTATCCAACCATACCTGGACCTTCACTGTTCTAAATCAATTATATTAATTCCGTATTAACTCTATCATACCCCCACACCATAGTGGCTGTTCTAAACCTTTTCCCTCTGAAACCCTTAATTCTGCCCTCAACAGTTTTCTCTCAGCAGATGACTTCATCTTCTACTTAACTGAGAAGACTGACAACATCTAATATGGATTCTCTTTTCTGCCCTCAATATTTCTGAACCTGTCACCTTGCCCAGGCCCTCTACTGATGTCCTTAAGGCCATTTCTCCTATCTACTCTTCTATTAATCATATTTTCACATTCTCTTAAGCTCTTCCCCCACCCTGTCTCTGTCTCTTTCTCCACCCCTTTCTCTCATTCTCCCCCATAGAAAATCTTTACTTGATCTTGCCATTCTTTGAAGCTTTCATCCCATAGCTCTTCCTCTTAATTCCAGACTTCAAGAAAGACATATATACTCATTTCCTCCACTTCCTTACCCTATTCAGATATTACCTTCACTTATTGACACATTGCAATCTGACTGTTGATCCTACCCTACCTACTACTGAAACTATTCACCAACAAATGATTGATGATCCATTAACTGCTTAATATGGACTTCTCTTACTTCTCATTTTCTTTACCTTCCATGTAGCTTTTGATAGTAATGAGCCCCCTTTCTTCTCGGAAATTATCTCTATCTTTGACCACACCGCTAAAACCTGGTTTTCCTACCTGTATGATGACTTCTTTTCAGTCTTCTTTGCTAGGTTATTGTCCATTTCAAATCCTCTTGAATGTGGATATCCAACAAGACCCTTTCCTTAGTCCTCTTTTCTTCTCTCCCTGTGCTTTTTCATTTGATGATCTCATCTACTAAGTCTATATATACATGGATAGATAGATATAGATAGATATATAATAGATATGATATACATATATATGTATAATATATACACACATGTATATATATATATCACATATACATATATACGCATGTGTGTATATATTATACATATATATGTATATCATATCTATTATATATCTATCTATATCTATCTATCCATGTATATATAATAGATATGATATACATATATATGTATAATATATACACACATGTATATATATATATCACATATACATATATACGCATGTGTGTATATATACATACATACATATCTCCCAAATCCATATATGCAGCCTGAATCTCCCTTCTACATTCTGATACAGCATCTCCAGCTGCCTGCTGGACAGATATCTCACCTGAAAATCATCTGTAAGCATCTCAAACTCATAACATCCAAAACAGACCTCTTTACCTTCCCTACTAAATTCTTCTATACATCAAATTTTCCTGATTCTGTTGATGACACCATAACCTCGTCAGTCACCCAGTTTCATGACCTTGGAGTCATCCTTGACCCTTCTCCTTCACCCCATATTCAATTAATCGAAAAGCACAGTTGATACTATGTCTTTAGCCTTTCTCACTCATCACCTTTCTTTCCATTCACAATGCCACAACCCTAGTCTGCTCCCTCATAATTATATACTCAAATATAAATTTCTAGGTCTTCAAAAATCTTGGTCCAACCTATCTTTCTACCTATATTTCACATTACTCCCTTTAATATTTCCGACATCCTAGTAAAAAATGGATGACTAGTGGTTTCTCAAACTCAATATTGTATCTTCTGCCTTCATGAATTTGCCTAACCTCCTCAGTCCCCATGCCTATCATGAAGTTCTTTCTCATCTTTATCTTCCAGAATCCTTATCTTTCTCAAATCTCAGCTCAAGTATCATTCCCTCCATGAAATCTGCCCTGAAACTCGCTCCTCACCAGTTGCAAATACTCTCTTCTTCAAATGGCCTTGTACTTTCTTATCAATCAATTAATTAATTAGTTTGTTTTTCCATCCACCTGTCCTTTTGTTAGTTGGTCTAATTTATTTTTACCTAGCATATCCTCATCATAAAATGTCCCTGCTCCTTGAGGGTAGAAACTACCTCATTTTTTGCCTCTGAACCCCCAGCATCTAGCACAATGTCATGAATATAATTATGCTTAATAAACATTTGATGAGTTTAACTGGATTTTCTCAATTGAAATAATGAATGTACTTTCTATCACTTGTTATCTCAGAATATTTCCTAGATATTAATTGGCAATATAGACCTCTTGAGTACTTAGTGAAGCTTAGACTTCCATTTTGATTAGCACTGTCCTGATAGTTTTCACCTTTAAATCAGTAGTATTTTTGCCTGAGCAAAACCAAAAATCATGACTTTTTTTAATGCATTTCTGTTTAATGCACTATTGAGCAAACCCATCTGAGATCCTAACACAATGCCTCCCTTCCTTAATTCTAGAAGCCATTTCTCAAAATGTCATCTCAACAAATGGTTAAGAGTAAGAAAAACAGGGGCAGCTAGGTGGTGCAGTAGATAGAGCACTGGCTCTGAAATCAGGAGTACCTGTGTTCAAATCCTACCTCAGACCAAACACTTGACACTTACTAGCTGTGTGACCCTGGGTAAATCACTTAACCCCAATTGCCTAAAAAAAAAAAATTCAATACCCCAGAAAAAAGTTTTAGTGTAGATGATACAATAACAACTAAAGGAATCAGGCACAATAATACACTAACTATTGTCTAACATTAGTAAAAGTTGGTGGGGGAGGGAGGTGGGGAGTAGAAGGGAGAAAAAAATTATTGCTTGATAATTTTTTAAAAATTCAACTTAAAATT